CCTCGGCCTCGCCAGCACAGAGGCGGCGGGAAAGTCTACTCTTGAGTTTTTAAATAAAGCTTTAAAAAAAATTGGGAAAAAAACCTCGTTGCCCACACACAAGAATTTTAACGCATCTCCTTTCTGCCGTCTCTTCTGCTCCATTGCATTTTTATTGATTTTCTACACCTGTCTTTTATTTATCTATATATTGAATTCACACTTGGAATCCAACTGTTTATAGTTATGAAACCTGCTTTTTCACATTTTCACTTACCACAAAAAATCCCAGCACGTCCCCGACACGAACCCCACCCAGCAGAGTGGCCATATTTGTCTAATCATTTAAATTGTTGCTCAAAGTGTTTGATACTATGAAAAAGGCTGCAATGACCAAGACGATCATAAAAGTTAAGATTTCTATCCCCAGAGACAGACTCCTGGAAAGAAACAGCCAGGTCCAAGGGTGTAACCATGTCTGCGATTCTCCACCACCCAGCAGCTGGCCACCCCCAGGGCAGCACAGGAATAACTCCAGACTCCCAAATGGTCCAACCACCCAGCGTGCAGCACGGGAACTGAGGCCCCCGTTGTCCAGGGTGAGGCTGGCGGGAAGCACATGGCTTCCACCTCGTCAGCTGAGCACAGCGGCTCATTTCCAGCAACTCAGGTTCACACTGAACGGAGCACCCAAGGGGCCCCAAACTACCCTTCTTTCCTTCCTCACTCTCCTTTCCATTCTTCCTTCAAAAACTACTTCTTCAGCTCAAGATCATGCAAACTGCTGCTCTTGGGGCTGAGGATACAGAAGCGAAACAGGAATGCATGCCCATCACTCCCTCCGTGACCTGCAGCCTGGTGAGGGGGCAGGCCACCCCTCCTCCCCCATCACCCCTCATGCAAGTCTAGCTCCTCCCCATCACCCTCCCCCAGTGCAAGTCTAGCTCCTCCCCGTCACCCTCCCCCAGTGCAAGTCTAGCTCCTCCCCCGTCACCCTCCCCCGGTGCAAGTCTAGGTCTTGCAGGTGGTTTGGCTCATTCCCTTGGTCTGGACCCACCACCTCTGTCTCCCTTATCAAAATGTCCCTTCCTTCCAGCATCACCTGAGACTCCCCGTCCTCTGAAGGGCTTCTAGGCCCTCCCCTAACCTGGCTGCCCCCCACCTTCTCTGCTCACAGACCCAGGAAGGGACACAACTGCCCTTCTAAGTGCCAGGCGGCTCTCCCCTCCATCAGTGTTAATTGACAGATGAGGAAACTGAGGCTCAGAGACGTCACATGACGTGCCCTGGGTCACCCAGCAGTCAGCAGCCGGGAGTCAGACCCAGGTCTGCGCCCCACCCCCAGGGGCTGATTCTCTGGGAGCCACTGTGCAGCGGGCCGGGCAGGCTGGCGGTGCTGTGACTTCCACCGCAGGCCTGTTTGTTATGATTCCCTGGCTGTGCGCAGGAACTGGGTGCTGGCTCCCTCTCCCTAAGAGGGTCGGACACTCTTCGAGGACAGAGCTCTGACTTCAGTCGCCTGTGTCTTCTCCACCCATTCCCAACCCTCCAGTCTAGACTCTGCACACAGTAGGCGCTCAACAAACACAACTGACTTGAATGCAGACAGCCTCAAATTCCAGCCCTCTTTGTTGTTGCAGGGAAGTCGTATGGAAAATTCAGAGATCACGGCTATTTGGTTTCGGGATACAAAATGTGATGCCATTTGCAACCAATCTGCAAATAATCCCTAATGATGTTTTCCCAGGCTAAAAAAGGCAAATTTGCCTTCCCTGAGGACAGTCTAGCCACGAGTAGGAGGCACAGCCCAGAAGCTTCCGGAAGGGCAGGAGGAGGGCAGTGGAGTTTGTTCTTTTTAAGCCACTGATCATTTCAAAGTGAGAAATCCAAGTGCAGGTAACTAAGAGTTTGCTGGAAACACAGCAGCGTGTGGGTCTTGCCTGCCAGCTCCAGGGTGGACAACCCGGGGTGGGGTGAGGGTGGGGCAGGGGGCTGCAGTGTTTGTGCACATGGGAAGGGGGAGCAAGCAGCTTCGGCCTGCCCTGGACACACCCACCATTACTCTCCCTGAAACCAGGAGCAACAGTATCCCCGAAATTGATGGCTCTGCCTGTGGGGCTTGACGGGCTCTGGTGGTCATGATGGATTGTTGCTATTTCCTGGGATGGAGCTGGGAGGTGGTGCATGCTCCCCCCTCCTCTGGAGGAGATGAAGGACAGAAAAGGGGAGGGAGGGAAGGCCAAGACTGGAAGAAATCAGAGAGACACTGAAATTGCTGGTAGCATCACTCTCAGCCCAAGAAGGCAGGCCCAGAGCACCGGTGCGCCTGACCCGCAACTCAGCTGCCCCCAGCTGGATGCTCAGCAGAGAGCCACCTGGGGCCTCTGCCCTCCCCCTGGGGAACAGACCTGTGGACAGAGGCTGGGTCTATAGCCCAGGCAGGTGGGAGCACAGCTGGGGGCAGCCGGGAAAGTGTAAAGGATGAGGGGGGTGAGGGGCTGAATCAGAGGGGACCCAGCAGCATCGGAGAGGATGGACCTTTGCACACGGAGATGGTCTCATACCTCAGGGGGGTCCAGGGGAACCCAGCACCTTTGCCTCCATCCTCTTGTCCCGCCGCTGGCTTCTCTTCTTCCCCTCTTGCCACCCACTAATCCAGCAACTTTGTACAGTTCTAAGAATAATGTCCCATGCTACTTACCATAGCTGACCAAGCCCTGTGCCACCTGCCCCGCTGACCTCTCTGGTTCCCTACCATGCCCCACCTGGTTGGCCTTCATATTGGTTCCTTTCTCCCACACAACAAGCTTGTTCCCACCCCAGGGCCTTTGCACATACTACTCTCACTACCTCAAATTCTCCACTCCCAGCTCCTCATGTGGCTGGCTCCTTCCCATCATTCAGAATTGAGCTCAAATATCACCAGCCCCAAAGTGCCCTGCCAGACCCCCCTGTCTGAATAGCCCCTTTCCCAGTCACCCACACACTAACCCTTCGGAGCATGGCTCAGTATCATTTACTTCTTTTCCTCAGTTACTATCTGCCTGCCCCACAGGAAGGAGGACAAGGCTTATCACCGTGTGCTCAGCACCTGGAGCAGTGCCAACATGTATTTCATAAGCAGACAGATCTAATCTCCTGTCAGATGCTCAGTCCCTGGAGGGTGAAAGAGCATCTAATTGGGGACCCAGCACACAGCCAAGCTGCCCACCCAGGGGCCCTGACTTCCCCCAGGTGAGGAGCTCCCAGCAGGAGCGAGACTCAGCGTTGAGCGCTACACATCTGCATGGCCTTTACTCCCAGGCTCCAGGACTGGGAAAAACAAAAAAATCACAGCGAAGGTCTAACAAAGGATTTTCCCCCCTGAGTTGTGAGTTCATTGATATGAAAAGTCTTGCAAAGGGATTAAAAACTAACCCCCAACCAGCCACATACTAAATGAACGTCCATCCAGAGCACAGTGGTTAGAAAGGTGATCTCTGGAACCAGGCCCAGGTCCTTAGCAGCTGTGCAGCTTTGAGCAAGTTCCTGAACATCTCTGTGCCTCAGCTTCCTCCTCTAAGCGACAGGGATTAAAGCCCCTCGTAAGGCGGCTGTGTGATTGACGAGGTTATGGCCGTAAAACAATAAGGCGAGCTTCCAGGAAATGACACCCGCTAGGACAGGGATGCCAACGTGGGCTGACCAGACTGGCCATCTAGAACATTCAACCAGCAAGGCCTGTCTGAGGTGGGACCGACGGCCAGCAGCCCAGCCCAGGCAGCCTAAGGGGCAAAGGAGCCCCTACCAGACCGAGGGGGCGGGCTGTGCTTCAGGACCCACCCAGGTGGGGCCCCTCAAACACATGTTACTTCCTCAGGCCAGCCAGCGCCCCTCAATGAGCAGGACTCCCTGCCATCCCTTTCTTTTGATTTTACCCAAGAGCAAACTTCAGAAATGCCTGGAGCTTTGGCTTTTGCATCACACACACTGGCCAAGGTATAGCTTTTCCCAAATTATGTAGAAGTGTGTGTTTCCAACGTATGTGTCAGCAGTTAGAACACACTGAGCAACTCCATCTCATAAAGACCCCAGTACCTAAAAGGTGAAGTGCAGCCTGTTTCCCCGGGGTGGGTGGGGTCCAAGCCTCCCCCCTCCACGCCTGGGGGCCAGGACTCCCCGCTGAGGTGGCCCTAATGTCACACCCCCTCGTTCTCTGGGGTTCCTCAAGTCGGGGGACTCGAGGAGGCACAGGAGACAGCAGCACAAACTCTTGGGGGAACTTGAACATTCTGAGCTCAGTAGGGAGATATTTAGAATGAATAAACCAGGAAATCCTTCTTGCAAAGATGGCCTAGGAGCACGAGTGGAGGATGCACGATCACTGTGGCCATTATATCCACGTGCACATCCACACGTGCCCATCCACACGTGCCCATGAACATAGAGCTCAAAATCATCACGGTGAGTAGAAAAAGCCGGTGCAGGGGAAGGGCATAGCTTAATGTAGAGCAAGTGCTTAGCATGCACGAGGTCCTGGGTTCAATCTCCGGTACCTCCATTTAAAAAAAAAAAAGGCAGGTGTAGCTTATACACAATAGGAAACTGCTTAGGGAAGAGTTGTAAAAACCCCACACCGTGCATTTAGTATGTGTGTGTGTGTGTGTGTAAAATGCATTTTGAGGCTGCATCCTGGGCCCAGCACACAGCGGGATACCACCCCTCCCTGACTCTGGATGCCCCCTCCCTCCTGGGTCCCCCTTACCTGTCCACAGCAAAGTGCCCGTTGCCGGCAGCCCGGTGCAGCTCGCTGCTGTTCTCCAGTCTGGCCAGCGTGTCCATGCGTTTTGCCATCAGCTCCAACAGGTCACTCATCTTGCGGAGGATGCCACGGGACTCCGGCCCACCCATCACTGCAGGCAGAGCGTGGGCAGTCAGGCGTGGCCCAAGCAGCCCGGAGGCCACTTGAAACCACTTGGTCTCTGGCCTTACACCTGCCCACTCCCATCTTCCTAGGAAGAGAAGGGGCCAGGAGAGTGAGCCCGCCCCACCCCACGCCCCTGCAGGACAGGAATCCAGAGAGCCCGGGCCAGCCCTGCCCGCCCACCCCAATTGTGTGACCTTGGGATAATCTTTAACCTCTCTGGACCTCGGTTTTTGTCGCCTCCAAAATCGAGCTTTAGACATAACTCAGGTCTGTGAGAAGACAGGAAAAGCCCAGCAATGGGACAGGAACCCCAAGCGCTTTAGAGCAAGTTCCAGACAAATTGTGGCTCAGGGTTTCTACAAGTGTGGTCGACCATCCACCTGCACCTGAATCTCCTGGTCAGACTCCAGGGCCCTGGTCTAGATCTGCTGATTCTAGGGGGTGGGGCCCAGGACCCTGCACTCTGCTTGCTCCCCAAGTGGCTCAGATGCACGAGAGAGACTGAGTCTGTGTTCAAGGGGTGCAGAGCCCCGGCCACCCACTTCCCCACCGACTCCCCTACACCCCACCCCAGGAAACCGTTATGAATTCGTCCTGACTCTCAAGCCGGTCTTTGGGTTCCCAAAGATCAACTCCGGGGCTGAGCTGCTGGGGGACCTTGTGAAGAATAAAATTAAATGAAAACGAGGTGCTCCAACCAAGATCCCATTAGCCAGCCCGCGACGGTCCACAATTTCCTTTCTAATCGTTCCCGATCATTAGCACCGCATGTGCCAGTGTGAGAGAGCAGCCCTTGTCTTCCTTTTCCATTAAATCTTGTGAAGGTTTGAAACAGCCCCTCCAAACCATCCACAGGTACTCAGTTCCAGGCACTGCAATCCCCAAGCAGGCTGCCTGCAAACCCCAGGGGCCGGACTCTGAGTCACTCTTAACAAATGAGCTGTCCCTGGAGACCCGGATGCTTCCAGGGGGGCCCCCCAGGCTGCCAGGGTGGGGGTGGTGCCTGGGGTGGGGCTCCCTAGAAGCAGATCCTGAGACAAGGGCGGAGGGCAAATCATTATTTGGGAAGTGAAGGGAAGTGGGAGGTGAGCAGGGAAGGGGAGACAGCCCAGAGAGGGCGCTTTGTCAACCTGGGAAAACCAGCAAGTGTAGAACCAGCCCCAGATTTTCCTGAGGGGGCTGGGCACGTCCACACCACCTCCCGCCAGTCACTGCTTGAGAGCTGCTCCCGGGGGTGGCACCTGCCGTGGGCGGCAGAGTGGCTGGAGTGGACACCTGCGCTCTCACCTGCCTCTGCAGCCAACCCCCAGCGTGGCCAAGGGAGTCACTGTGACACTCTCAGCCTCCATGTCCCCAGCTCAAGGCAATAACCCCATGCCCCCATCTGCAGCCCAGGCTCAAGGTGGCAGGGGGTTGGGGGTGGGTGGCGAGGCAGGAGAGAGCAGGGCAGGCCACTGGGAACCAGAGGCAGAGACGGGGAGAAGGGAGGGGAGGGCACGAGGGGGCTGGTCTCTGCTCCCTGCTTGGGACTGAGTTGGGGAAGGGAGGCTAGAGAGGCTGCTGCTCATGACATTTCTGCTTTGCTTGTCCTCCAGATCCCCTGGCTCCAGGCCCATTCCAGTGGCTGTCGCCACTTTCTCACACGAAGTCAACTCCTGGCTGGGTTCCCCTGCCAGCTGAGCCCGCCTGAGGTCAGAAGGGAGGCCACGGGGACCCGGGGGGCTCACTCACAGCTGGGCATCAAATCCAGAGCAGTGAGGAGCTACAGGCTCCTCAAAGAGCCTGGGTCCCTGGCTCCGAAGAAAAGGGTGGACATGAATGGGGAGGAAGAGGGGCCAAGGGTAGGAGAGCAGAGGAGGAGGGGGAGAGACAGAGGGTGGGTCGGGTGCTGGAGAAAATGGGCATCAGAAGGAAGGAAGGACACACTGTCCACCTGCTGTCACCTGAGTAGCTGAGATAGCTAATGGTCTTTCCACTTTCCCCTCTCTGAAAACAGGGTGGATTTTTCAGATGGGATCAGGAAATTTCACCACAGTGTTAAATGAAGCAAACTGAGGTCTTTCCCGCCACTCAGCCCCTCCTCACTCACTCACAGCCTCAATCAGTTAGCCAATCATCAAGATATAAATAGCTCCTTCTCTCTTTCAACCCCACAGAGCTGGGAGCAACAGTTGACTGTTCCAAATCACACTCATCTGGAGACCCCTACCCAAGCTCATCATCCAAACGTGACACCTGACTTTCAACCAGTGCTCAGAGCACCGAGTAAGACAAGAGGGGAGTTCCCATGGGAGCACATCAGATGATCTGACCTGGTCGTCACTTTGCACAGCCCGAGGGGAACTGTCTGTGTTGTGGGCCGCCTGATGGATGACTTGGAGTTGTGCAGTGCACAGCCTGCCCAGCCTCACTGGGCTTCCCTGATGGCTCAGAGCTCAGGCTGGGGAGGCCCCTTCCGCAAAAGAGCAGGATGAAAAAAGGAGAGTGAGACCATGGCCAGAAACACTCTCAAGCCAGGGCCTGTTAAGCGAGGTTCCCCGGCGGTGCGCTCAGGCCTGACTGGACCCAGCACAGCTCGGACTTGCAGACACAGCACTCCAGGACTGCTGAGCCACGTCACGGCTTCTGGGGTGGCACTGTGTTCCCCGCAATGCTGCAGGCCTGGCTCCTGCCCTGTCACCCTGCTGCCCTCTCTCCAGGCCCATCCCAAGCTTCCTTTTCTCCTCTGAGCTCACTGCCCACAGACCTCACTGACAAAGCTGCCCCCCCTCCCCCGTGCTCCTTGTCCCCTTTCAAAAGCTGCAGAGTAGCTGATGAAGCCAATAACTGTGAGATCTGGCCCAGAGCTGCAGCGACCCCAAGAGCCAGGCAGAGGTGGGTGGAGCCCGGGGGCAGCCCCGTGGCCTGGGGCAGGTGGGAGTGGGAGTCAGGAAGTCTCCGCTCCAGCCCCGCCCTGCCCTGACCGGGTGGGGGGTTGTCACTTTCCTTCCCTGGGCCTCAGTGTCCCCTCCTGTAAAATGCAAGGGCCTGACTTACTGAGCCCCAAGGGTCTCCAGGCTGGGTCTCCCCCTAATTGCCTCTAGAGACTACGGTAATGGGGAAGGAAAGAAGTGGTCCCCTGAAAGTGTAAAAGTGGGCAGAATCTCCTCAGAGAGAGAGCTCGGTTTTGTTTTGCTAAACCCCTGGGTGGGCCCGAGCAGAGTCTGATGCCCAGAGCAATGAGACAAAGAGAAAGCTAAATGACTCTGCATATTCAAGTAGGAAGACGAGCTTCCCGCTCAGCCTGGAGACAAGGAGAGAGAACGAGGCTCTGGGACACAGAGGCAGGGCAGCCAGAGGGGCTGAGCAGGACAAGGGGAGCTCTCAGCAGGGATGACCAGTGGGGAAGGGCAGGGGGTCTCGGGAAGGCAGGGGGGCAAGTGGGAACTCTCATCTGTCCGCTGGGCTGAGCGGTGGTCCGAGTCCCCACCTTACCCCGCCTCTGTGGGGGCTTAGGGGGACGGGGTGTCCTTCACACCAGGTCAACGTGCGGAACACAGAGGAGGTAGGAGAGGATAACTCAGCAGAAGCAGGAGATCAGAGCAAGAGGGGACCACGGAAACACAAGCCCCTACGAGTCCTCGGAGACATTTGGGGTTCTGGATCCCCCTTCGGGGTTGCGGGGAGTTAAGCCAGGAAGAATAATCCCAGAAGAACCGGAGGGCTTATGGCAGGGCTAAGGAGACAGCGCCCCCCGCAGGTGGGTCTGCAAGGCCACCTCCATCAGGCCGGACCAAGACCACAGGCTGAGCCCGTCCCGGCACCTGGGGCTCAGGGCCACTCGCATCATCCGCAGACAGTGCAGGACTCCGGGAGCTCCTGAGACCTCCGAAGACACCACCCCGACCCCCACCACCATCACTTCCCGAGGAGCTCCAGGGCCCTCAGCACATTTTCTGCCCTGGACAAGGCAGGAGGTGGGTCCCCAGGAAGGAGGCAGGCCATGCACAGCCAGGCCGGCCGGCCCTCCCCGCGTGACACGCCGGCCGGGACTGCCAGCAGAGCAAGCTCCTGACGTGTCTTGCCCCGAGTCGCCTCACCGTTCTCCGTGACAGCTAAATTGAAATGTTTTTAATGTGAGGCCCCAGCGATACTCACACATGTTGCCTCCCTATTTCCATATAAATAAGGAAAGACTGGATGCTGAGGGACACAAACGGTCCCCCACGGTCCCCACATTTACCAACGGGGGGTGCTCACCCACCGAGGCCCCATCTCCGCCTTGTTCCCTCTCTTGTCCCCTCTCTTGTCCGCATTCCCACCCTCTACCACTGGTTCCTGGAAATTGAAGGAGCCACCATCTTGCCAGAGCGAAGAGACCTCCCCGGCCCTGGAGATGGGGGGGGTGACTTGGTGTTTGCGCAGCTGGAGAAACGCACACTCTCATCTCTCTGCACACAGCCACCGCAGAAACCAGCTGCGGCCACGGGAGCTCTGGGCAGCGCGGGAGCTGAGGGCAGCCCTGGCCCACCCACCCAGCGCCAGCCTCTGAAAGAGGAGCCCCAGAGCCCCTCAGCACTGAGGTCCAGGGCCAGAGAGCCACAGAGCAAGGAAATCTATCTCTGATGCTCTCCAGGTTCAAATCCTGGCTGGGGGCTGGGAGGCCTGGCAGGGCCGGTCCACAGGGGAACCTCAGGGCAGACACATGCAGCCCTCTCCCCATAAACAGCCTCCGACCTCTACTTCAAGACAAGACAGAGAGCTGGGAACAGCCTCACAGGCTGTGGGAAATGTGCAGCAATGTTGGGAAGGAGGCCTCAGACTCAACTTCACACCCCCTGCCATGAGGAAGGAAGCAAGTCAGTCTTAGGACAGGAGGAGGGAAGCAGAGGCAGGAGGCGGGAGGACCGACTGACCGGGCTGGGAAGGAGTTGGGGGGGAGGGTACTGGTGAGGGCGCATATGCCAAAAAACCCTCCCTCAAGGCCCAGGCCAGGCCCAGCTGCAGCAGGAGGGAATTAGGTTAGCCCTCCCCCGAGTTATAATTCTCCGTGCAGCCTCCTTCTCCCCTGAATCTTAAGATGAGTGTGCAGAATATAGAATGAGATGTCTGTCACATTTCTATCCCCAAACTGGAGAACTTCATCACGAAATAGGAACTGGCCCAGAGGGGACAGCAGAGCCTCCCCAGGGAGGCCACGGTCCATACAAGGCTGTGGGAGGTCCTCCTCCTTTTAGAGAAAACCCTTCTCCCTGACCCTCCCCAGCCACATCCCTCTACGGGCTTGACAGGTGAGGAAAGGAGAGATTATTTTCCCATTTGGGCTCAAATGGTTTTATGAACCAATGAAGGATTTTTCTTTCTAAAATTTTATTCTACCTTTTTTTTTCCCCTAACCCTCAGTGGGTTTCCTTCTCCTGGTTCTGCCCTGGGACTGCACCGACCCCCACCCACCCAGCCAGAATAAATGTTATCTACGACCCACTCCCCACTGTCACCTCCAGTCCCTCCCCAGACCCCTTCACAACCGCCCCCCAACTCCCGACCCCCATCTTCCCCTGAGTAGAAACGCTGGCACCTGGGAGGTTTTCTGCAGGGCTGCCCCGGCATGCGGTGGGGGTGTCATTTGAGGGGGCATCTCTTGCAGGATCAGGATTTTTAAGCACACAGTGTAGACTTGGGCTCTTCCAAATCCCCACTTTGGGTCTCTCCACACAAATCAGCTTAATCCAAGGCCATGAAAGAAATCGGGGGACAATGAGACCTGGGATGTGAACTGAATCAGGGTCAGTTCCCAGGGGTTCTCATACGTCTCCTCCCGGCCTTTACTTCCATATTCTGGGCACCAAGCTTCCAGCCCAGGGATCTGGGAGCATGTGAAAAGACTTAAACCTGGATACACTTGGTCTGAGAACTAATGTCACAACACAGAGGAGACCCAGCAACTCCACCCCCAGGTGTACCCAACAGAGATGCCAACGTGTGTCCACCAAAGACGCGTGCTGGCATGTCACTGCAGCACAATTTACCGAAGCCCCAAACTGGAAAGAGCTAAATGTCCACCCATGGTAGAATGGATAAATACATTGTGATACATTCACACAACGGATGCTGCACAGCAGTGAAAACAAACCTCTAAAACCACACACCACGAGATGGATGAATCTCACAAATGTAGTATCAAGAGATAAAGGGACACGCAAAAGAATACTGCTGTACGATTCCACTGTCATAAAGTTCAAAAAACAGGTGACATTTCTCTGTGCAGTTAGAAGTCAGGGTCCTGGCGCCCTCGGGGAAGTGGTGAGTGGAAGGAGGTCTGAGGGGAACGATCTTCAGGGGAACGATCACAATTCTGTTTCTTGATCGGTTGCTGAGTGCGTGGATGTGTTCAGCTTTTGGATACTAGACTGTGATGGAAACTTTAAGCACATGTATGCGCACACACGTCTCTAGCCTAACTGCATGACCTTGGGCAAGTCCTCTCCCTTCTGTGGCTCCGCCCACCCCTTAGACACAAGATCTAGGTTGGAGTTGGATCCTTTCTCCCTCTGCCAGGCAAAACTGCACAGTGCCAAGCCTGGCAGGACTCCCACAAGCCCCTGGTACTCTGGGCACTGGTCTACCTTCTGCCAGGATAAGGCCTCAACCCCTCTCGGGGAGATGAGCAGAAGAACCAGAGCCCAGCCCCTGACCTCCACCTCCTGGAGCCCTGACCATTCTGGGAGTCCAGCTTGCTCAAGCCCATGGCAGCAGCCCACCCCGCCAGAAATGCCCCCTTCCCAGGGGTGGTACCCAGGTAGCTTGAGCATCATGCCCTTTAACCCATCCCTCCCCAAGTTACCCCTCCAGTGCACCTTCACAACTGCCCCAGCCCTTCCTCCAACCTCAACCCTCAGGAGTCTCCCACGGAGAGGTCCCGACATGTCCCTCCCAGCAGTGCCCCCACCTCAGACCCACACCTCCAGCCAATATGTATCGAGCTGGCGTTCTCTGCCAGATGCTGCCCGAGACCCTTCATAGGTGGCATCTTACACCTCCTCATGACAATCCTGGGGGCAGGGGGGACTGTCATCCCCATTTACCAGAGGAGAAAATGGAGGCTCAGGGAGACAGAGGCATCTCTGTGAGGCAGGGATGGATAAACTCATTTACATTCAGGCTTGGATGACTAATACATGTGAAATTCCTGCCGGGAGCTTTTGCAAGTTTAAAGACGTGGCCACACAAACCAGAGGGATGACTCTAATGAGGAGACACCAGACGGCACAGTCAGTGCCCCTCAGAGCACCCGCCCTGGACCACAACCCATTCCACTGGCGGGTTTATCCTTTGCTGGGAAGAGGGGAGCCAGACAGAGGAGGCCTGGGGGTTCGAGAAGGTGGACCTCAAACAGAGGCCTCCCCAGAGGGGCAGGGGGAAGCCCACAGAGCGGCCCCCTGAACAGCTGCAGAAACCCCATTTGCCTCAGTTTCCCCACTGTGTTCCTCCTTCCCACTGTTACCAGAAAAGGCCCTGGGACACCCTGAGCAGGACTCTCTGTGCTGTTCTCTGTTCTTCCCGGAGTAGGATGAAGGTGGGGGGCAGGACCCACGTGCAGGAGGTGGCCTCCCTGGTCATCACCCCATCACACCCCACACCACGTGAGCTCATTCAGTCCAACCCCTGGCAACAGCCATTGCTCTCCTCTCAAGGTGACTTAAGCGACTTGGACAACAGCACACAGCAACAGCACAACAGCACAACAGCACACATACTAACCAGGTCTTCTGCTCCCCAAAGTCTCCATTCCAGCGCCCTGCAAGTATCGTGTGGGCAAGGATGAAGGACCAGAGAGCCTGGAGATAAGACACGTGAGCCCACGGCCAGGCCTGCCCTCTCCCCTGTGCTGTGGCCACAGCCTGGCCCAAAGGCGCAGAAGATGTGTGCCTCAAAGAAACAGATGTCATGCTCAGAGACCCCAAACCTCCCCACTGGAGAAGCAACACCGGCAGTGCTTTCTGATGCCTGGGAGGCCCTAGTTCTAAGGACTCTCCTGGCCTGAGACTCTAGGCCAAAGGAAGCATGATGATGACCACAGCCAGGACAAGAGCAAAGCAGCGTGTGTGCGAGGCGCCCTCCAACCGCACATCCGCTGACAAGGCAGCCCGATGCCCCGGGAAGCTCCCTGCAGGGCTCGGCTCCAAGACCCCCCTCTCCTCGATGCCCAAACCCCCGCACCCCTTCGTGACCGGCCTTTCCCCACCGAGTTACCTTCTGTGCGGATGGTGAAGGGCGAGTCCCCAGGGCGCCGGGCTGAGAGCTGGCCTCCCAGAGACGTCATCAGGAAGCAGAGGGAGAAGAGGCCGATGCCCAGGACAAAGAGCCTGCAGAAGGCGACAGGGCGGGCAGGGGCAGTCAGCGCGCGCGCCTCCTGTGAGGGGCGGGTCAGCACACGCACCCCTTCCTGTGAGGGCTCCCTACAGAGGGACAAGTGAGGAAGGGTAGATGGATGGAGAAATTCAAGATCAGAGGGCTGAGCTCCTGGACCAGGAGGTCTCCATCACCATGGGATAAAGAGAGCAAGGGAGCATAAGCCAGATGCCAAACCATGCAGGACAATGACACAAACTTAGGTATAAGGCTGGGCAAGTTCTGAGACCTCCAGCAGAGGTCCTCAAAGTGTGGTCCCCAGGCTGGCAGCATAGCATCACCTTGGAAATACTAGAAATGCTCATTCTTGGGCTCCTGCCCCAGGCTTATGGAATCACACACTTTGGGGGTGGGGTAAGCAAGGTGTTTTAACAAGGTCTCCAGGTAACCCTGACACACGCTCAAGTTTGAGAACCATTGGTACAGAAGGAGACAGAGGACCTGAGGCCAGCCAGAGGGCAAATAATTGGTCCAGACAAAACCCACCAGGATCCCATCAGTCACCTCAGCCAGTATCTGTGTACACAGGCCCTGCCACAGCAACTAGTCCTGAGCTTGCCTGAACACTTCCTTGTCATGTTGGGGAGAGGGGGGAGTGCAGACCAGATGGTAAGATTTAGAAGGACAGGGCCATGTGGCCGCCTTCTGTGCCCAGACTCTCCCTAACCCACATCCTCATCAGGCAGGCACACGGTAGGTGGCACCATGGACTGGTCAGTGAGCTGACACCCATGTACCAGGTGTCACGCAGGTGTGTGGGGTCACAGTGCTCAGGGGACTTGGCCCAAACATGACTGTTTACTCCTTCAACACATAGTTTCTGATTACGTACCAAGTGCCAGGCACTAGGCTATCCCCAGAGGGACAGCAGGGGACCCACCCCAAGTCTGGCCCCAGGCTCCTGCTGTTTGCATACTAGATTCTGGACCCCAGCCAGGAGAACTGAGCTCACCAGCACAGCCAGAGGTGGCGACTGCTCTGGGACCTTGAATCTATCAGGGGGTTTGGTAGATTCAAGCTGGCAGAGCTGAAAGGGGAGTGCCCCTCTGGTCAGGGTAAAGAACCCCATGTCTCGTGGAGCCAGGCTCACCACAGGGAGCCCCACAAGCCCTGCCAGAGCCCTCCAGCCCTCCCACCTCCACCCTATCCTCAAACCCCACCCTTGTTTGTATCTCTGTGCAAGACTTGCTTTATGCATTTTAATCTTCATTATTTGGAACTGGCAGAGCAGTATTTAATTAAAGAAAACACATAATTGCAGAAGAAAATAAAAGCACAACAAAATTCCCAACCCATATTTAAAAGAAGTTGTTAGAGATTAAATCAGAGAGGTGGGGGAAGAACCCAAAAGCAGAGATGGCACTGGAAGCTTCCCCCAGGAGCTGACAGGGAGGACAGGAAAGATGGCACAAGGAACACTGCTCCTTCACTTCCCAGGGACCTCTTACTAAATTCCACCAAGCCTGGGGGTGGGGCTCTGGCCCTGGGATCCCCAAGATGAAGTCAAGCTGGCCTCAGGCTAGCAGCCAGAGGGACCGTGAGGGGGGAGGGTGGCCATACACCCAGGAAGACCCTGCGGGAAATTAGCAGTTTGTCTTCCCAGCCTGCGGATAAGGATGGATGTCTTCAAGTTTCTTGGCCCTCACTCCCCACTTCCCTTCCCCAGCTATAGGGCTGTATTTAAAGCTGGGGTCCTGGGCTGCCAGGGTCCAAAGAGGAAAACAGAGCCCAAAACCTGAAGCCCCCTCAGACACCTCATTTGAATGTCTCTCTGCCAGACCCCAATCCTGGGGCCATTTATAGTCGATTCAACTTAAAACTGTTTTGTCCACCCATGTATCCTTTCAAGCAACATTCCAGGAGCAACTATGGAATGAAGGCCCTGCCAGAGGCTCTGGGAAAACCTGAGAAATGGCTCCCAGCCTGCCTTTAGGACTAACAGTAGGGGTGATATGGTCGGAAGCTATATTCTCCCCCGTCTGAAGGGGACTTGAAGACTTCACTAGTGGCTGTGGGTCTCCAGGCAGCCTCGGGGTACCCTGAAGGGAAATTATGTAACTGGAGGGTGGGGGGAGGAACCTCTGAATTCTGCTTTCAGATAAGAGCCTGAAAGAAACACAGGCCAGGACCCCAGAGAGAAGCAGTGTTAGGAGCAGGCGCTGTCCGAGGTGCTGGCATCCAGCCACCACGTCCAGTTGCACCAGGAAACGTCCAGTCAAGCTAGGACCGGTGGCTGGGCTTCCCATGGCCTGGAGGGAGGGGCCGACATTGGGTGGGAGAGACAGGGCTGAGGGCTCTCTCAACAGTCTGGGTCAGCCAGGGATTTGAGGATTTCACTGGAGGAACAAGACTCTTTCCTGAGACACAGCGTCCCACCCTGCTTCTCATGGGAATCTCACATCAGGGGTTCCTGGCACCCCCAATCACCTGCCCAAGGCTCCACCTTGGGGACCCCCAGCTCTATGATCCTCCTGCATCCTCTGGACAGTGGTAGTCCAGCATAACCCCCGCCGTCCTAAAGGTTTCTCTTCAACTGTGCACAACAGGCCTGCAGATCCAGGGGCTGGATGCAATAGGGAGACTAGAGCCTCTTGAGCCATGATCTCATGTCAGGAGCCGGGAGGAAGCTCAACGCGGGGCATGGGAGGGGTCCAGGTCTCCGCCTTAGGTTTGGAAGGGAGGGGCTCAAACCCAACCCCTTCCACCTCCTAAACTTTGGGCACCTCCTTCTGTCCAGTTCCTGTCCTCCTGGACTCCTTCCAGCTCCCGGACTCCACCTGTGGCCGAGTTCTGAGTGTGGCCCCTGGCCCTGGGACCCCGCTGCTCCCTTGGGGCCCTACAATGCCCAGCCCCCGGGGGAGGTTGCGCTCTGATCCCGATAGCCACCCCATCATTTAGCGCCCCCTCCCTAACCCCGGATACAGGCTCCGCTCCTACGATGGGGAAGAGTGGGAGCTGCCCCGGTACCACCAAATTCTGGGGGCCCTGGGGTGGGACCAGCAGAACCCAGCCAGCCCGCGCGGCCACAGCCCTGCCTGGCCTTGACCACCCTAACTGGGGTTGGAGGGCCGGTCTTCCCTTACATCCTCCACACTCTCATCGCCCTTCCACTCCACAGCGTCGTCTCTGCCCCTGCCTCCCCAAGGCCCGCCATCAAGGGACGAATTCTCAGCAAAGGGGGTCCTTGCCCCAATCTTGAGAACCCTCCCGTTGGAGACAGGCACGCACCCCGCCGCGAGAAGAGGATTGCGCCCAGAAGCGGGGGCAAAGGGGGTGGTACAGGCAAAGGGGGTGGGCGGGCCAACTCAGGGCTCGACGGGCCCGCCGGGTAGGGTGTCCTCCGGCACAGCGCGCTAACTTTGCCGCCGGGGTGGGGCCGCTCGCGAGGTGGAGGACCCGGAGGAACAAGGAAGGGGCGCCCTGCCTGGGGCGCCTTCTGGGCCTGGGACCACAACATGGGTGATTTCTGCCCCTAATCCCACCTTCGCACCCCGAGTCCTCTCCAACCTAGACCAACTCAATACACGTCCAGAATTACACACCCTCCCCACGCGAACCGGTTCCATCCCTTTTCCAGCCCCGCTGGCCACCAGCAGGGGTTGAAGCAAGAACTGCCTCCTCTGCTACGGGGGGCAGGCACCCTCGCAGGGACTGACCTCGCCCATCCCTACCCGCGCCCTCCTCGGAGAAAAAGACGTCCCCGCGCCAACCGGGAGAGAACTTTACCGAAAGGGTCTCAGGGTGACCAGGCATCTTCTGACCATTATCTTCCCATCGGGGTTGACTGTGATCATTGTTCAAACTTGTCTGGGCAGGAGCCGCGGGCGAGGTCGGACGCGCCGT